CCCCCCCCCATTTGCAGCAAAAATACCACCAAAATGTTCTCAATAACTGAATCCAGCCATCGTACCTCTGCAAACGTTTAATTTATCTCCCAACGCATGGAGGAGGAGTCTGTCAGGTGCCCTTTGTCATACCCCCTGAGGACCCGACAGATGCTCCTGGACCAGCTGTGAATGGTACTCAGTGGTGAGCAAGACTAGACTGAGATGCAGCAATGGGTGGCGACCTGCGGCCGAGCAAGACTAGACTGTATTTCAGCAGTGGGCGGGTTTGTGGGCGGCGACCTGCGGCCGAGCAGGACTAGACTATGATACAGTAGTGGGCGGGTTTGTGGGCTGCGACCGTCGGTGGATTAGGGCTAAACTGTATTTCAGCAGTGGGCTGCGGCCGAGCAGGACTAGACTGTATTTGAGCAGTGGGCGGGTTTGTGGGCGGCGACCTGCGGCCGAGCAGGACTAGACTATGATACAGTAGTGGGCGGGTTTGTGGGCTGCGACCGTCGGTGGATTAGGGCTAAACTGTATTTCAGCAGTGGGCTGCGGCCGAGCAGGACTAGACTGTATTTGAGCAGTGGGCGGGTTTATGGGCGGCGACTTGTGGGGAGCAGGACTAGACTATTACAGCAGTGGGCGGGTTTGTGGGCGGCATCCTGCGGCCAAGCAAGACTAGACTGTATTTGAGCAGTGGGCGGGGAAAGACCTGTAGAAAGAATCCACCCACTCTGTTAATGACATCAGACTGAGCACTATGAGGGGCTGTCACATGACCAGTCGCCCTGTGCTATAGAGAACATTGGCGGCTGGTCATGCGAAACGGAAACATATTACTTAACCTACATTGATAGATTTCTGGTCACAGGAGGCACTGTTGAAGAAAGCAGGGCACGTTTTAAGTAAGCCGCAAGGTGGGTTGCAGACGCAACCAGGGTCCTGCTGTTATCTCTAACAGGCCCCATCTATGCCCTTCTCCGATTCACCAGGCCCTAACTTGGTAGCCAAGCCCTGCCAACGGCTATCCTCCTGTTCAACAGCCGTGGCCAGTAAGGGAACTCTTAGTGGCAGTACATGGAGCTTAGCCATAATGTCATATAAAACAAAAAATCATGCCCCAGTAAAAAAATGAATCTGCATCAGAGAGGGGCACACAATACAGTACTGCGACATCAATGGCGCCTCCAAAAAGTGTTTATTTTGGGGGGGGACGGTGTGTTGTCATTCAAACATATCATGCAAGGTCGGCTTTGTACAGGAAATGCTGACTTAAATGTCCCAGTGTACCCAGCCTCCTAGGAGCTGGGACTGTATTTTCTCTATCAAAGTATCCCTGTATACAAGGCCTTGGCTAGAAGAGTCATTCAGAAGTCTCACCAGAAGGAAGAGGGGGAGGAAGCCTAGGACCAAATTCTTCCTCAGCCTCCATGTCATCTGGACTGTCCGTCCGTGCGGGAGCTACAGGAGTAATGGGCGGATGAACCTTCGGCTCCGTCTCTGCAAAGAAAAAAAAAACAAAAAACACACACATTACTATACCGGAGATCTGAGGAGACTAATGAACCAGATCTGCACTCCCCAATCAGAAAGGATTATTCCAGTTTACTAGAACCTCCCATGATTATATTGATGCGTCCGTAACAGAGATTTCCTCTCACTTCCTGTTTAACACGTTAAAGCTTATAGGAGATTTAGTGATTATGTAACAATGACCGTTAACAATGTTTGTGCATCTTATGGAGCGAATGTGCGAGAGCTGAGGCGGCGGGGCTGACCGTGTACCCAGGGTTGTGGAACCCCTATCGCCCGACGCCCGGGACATGCAGTTTCGGGCGAGTAGTTTTTTTTGTACATTTAGCCTTGCTCCTGACAAGCAGAGCTAAATGTATAGTTAGATCACTTGTATGAAAGGAGCAGCAGTGATCCTGTCCACTCCCCCCTTGGTCCCCCGCTCCTCTGGGGGACCCGTGACCACGGCATAGGAGCTCACCATAGAGCCCGTAGAGCAGATGAAGAACGTCCGTTCTTCGTCTAGTCTGTGTGATCACTGAGACCGTGGCGCCACTTGTCTCAGCTGTCAGGAACTACACAGAACCCTCCCCCGCGTCTTATGGTCAGGTGCGTGTTATGAAGCGCAAAATACGTTATATAGTTCCATTGTACCTGCTCAGGCAATATAATAAGCCCGATTTATGCCAATCCAACCAAGCACATATAATCCCACCGAAAAGCTATACCCGGATACTGTCTATGGATATTTAATATCCTGATATCATTTTTTTGGTAGCGATTACGTTTTATTATACATTAGGCTAAGCCGTGACAACCAGAAAGCAGTCCCAGGAGGTAGCCTGACCTCGTACTATGGAAGGTGGTGCTGTCTCCGGCCGGCTGCCTTTAGCCTCTTCCCCGGGCAACGCAGAGTCCTCATCGCTCTCCTCTTCTGATGACGAGGACTTCTCATCCGAGGAATCAGCAAATATGGCTTTAAATAAATCGATTGGAGGCCTCGTCTCTTCTTCTTCTTCTGCATCCTGATCCGTCTGGCTCTGAAGGACCCAAGAGACAAAAGTGAGGTCAGTGATAATAAATCTGCAAAAGAACTGAGCCAATGCTAAATGTGAACATTGTTTCTCATGAACATCTTTACAGGGACAGACCACTGAGCATATTATTCATGTTTTGTATCGGAGACTGCAAAGCATTAGAGGATCGCGGGTGCAATGCTCGGGCTCCTGCATACTATGTCCCCAGCCCCAGGTCCATTCAGAGGTACGGACCTTCTGTTAACCTTCCTGGCGGTAATCCCGAGTGTGGCTCGGGGTTAATTTTCAGTACCAAAAGCGGTAACCCGTGAGCCACACTCGGGATTACAGTGTGCGTCACTTACCTTGTCCACGAGTCCCGCTGTGTCCTCCGGCCGATGCCGGCATCCGTCTTCCGTCCCTTGCGAGCGCCCTCGCCGCAGTGGGGGCGGAACCGGCGGGAAATTTGAAAGTAAAAATAGAAAATCAATGGACTTTGTGCTCTACTGAGATCTACAAGTCCCTCTGCCACGGCAGCAGATGGAAATTGTGGTCTTTTCACTCATAGATCCTGTGAATGGATGAAACGGCTGTGCGAGCAGAGCCATGCTATATGACCATGTTCCATGTTAATATGGGTGTAACATGAACATGTCAATTATAGAAGTATCTTGTTGCACTCCTTGCCGATTTCAGAAGACCTGTAAGATCAGGCGGGAGCTTGAAATGACAACGGGTGACACCATGTATCACTTACAGTCCAGAAACATCACCAGCACACCAATAGACGTGAAAGAAATGAATGAGCCGAGCCTGATGAAAGGGACCCTGTGTGGCTCCGAAAACGTTTGCATTTGAAGGACAAGTGTGCGTCAATAAATGGATTTCTTTCACGTCTAATGGTGTGCTGGTGACGGTTCTGGACTGCAACATGAAACATGGTCACGAGTGTGGAGTATTCTTTCTAAACAGAAAGACGGTACCAGGATCTGTACCTGGCCAGAGGCAGCCGTTGGGACAGGAGGCTGAGCGCTCGTCTCCCCTCTTTCTTCCTGTTCCTCCTTCACCTCGCTCTTGCTGCGAGCCTGGCTGAGGAAATCACTCAGACTGTCCTTGTTCTTCTTCTCTGCAGAGGACATGTCCCACCTGGATGACTTCTTCTGCTCTGAAAAGATGTTAAAAGTAGTATAAAAACGCTCCGTTTTTTTATTTCATGTTTCACTATAGATCCACTTCATTAGCTGAACGTTCACATTAGGTTTCCTTACTGTGCTCCCAAAGATAGCCATCGCCTCTTTACATACTGACCACCACTATATGTCCATCCAAGCTGCTTCCCTGAACTTTATATATATATATATATATATATACATACATATACATGCACCATGATGCCTCGTGTGGCTCCCATTCAGCACATACGTGCCCAAATCTACACCTCTCTTTACGAGAGAGCCTGTCTGTGCCACCTGTGCATCTCAGCAAGCAGGAGCACGAACATGGCTACGTGGCTACGCAAGGGCTTCAGGGGAAGACTCTGTAAGGCAGTATCCTGACCCTAGAGGAGGTGTATTCTTGGGAAAATTATCTAGTACTCATTTTAAAGAAGAACTTTTTTTTTGGGGGGGGGGACCACACAAAACACTTGCACGTGCAGTGGGGCTATCCCTGCACTGCAAGGGTTAAGTGCTCGTTCTCTAGGGGGGCTCAACTAAAGCAGATATACTCATCAGATCCTCAGTCCCTCCAGGCTACTATACCAGTCCCCGCAGCCTCTTCTTTCCCAGACTCTGGCGGTCTAAGGACCACTGACTTCACGCCTTATGCAGGTCCATTGACTTGCATTATATATGAGAACGCTGAAGAATATTCCATAGCCGGTGTGGAAGGGGGAAGAAAGGAGTGCCGACCGCGGTGGGACTGAGGATCAGGTGAGTAAAGCCTCTTTATTTGAGCCCTGCTACATAAATCGAGCACTTAACCCTTGCAGCGTGGGAGTAGCCCCACTGCAAAGGTAAGGTTTTTTTTTCTGCCCGAGTGCTTCTTTAAAAGTAACTCAGACACCGAGGATGAAAGAACACAGCATTTAAGTAAGCTTGTGAGTGACGGAACGGTTTTTGATTTGACAGATCTTAGGTTCAATAACACTGTAAAGCAGAAGGTGCTGAAAAGAAGACATCAGATATTGGAGCACTCTCGTGCCATGCTGTATAATCCCCAATACATTTGGCTATCTGTGGACTCGCACCTGTGATTGACCACCAGAGGGCTGCAAAACCCTGCGTCTGATCAACAAACAGGTAGAAGGCTTATGTTACAGGTTGTGTGCGAGGCTGCTGATCATTGTCACTGGGAAATCCAATATATCTGCCCTAAACTAGAGCAGGAGCCTGGGCAGGAGGGCATCTGCATCAGCCAATCAGCATAGGTGGCCCACCCGAGACTAGTGCGCTAGTGATACAACCTGAACGGTCTCAGACCTTATCTCTCCTACAGGAAGCTTAGATATCCCTTGTTTTAAAAGGTAACACTCTTGACATTCAGAGTGATAAATCAACCCGTCATCCAGGGTTCTGAGAAAACCCCGGGGTTCCTCACAATGCTGCTAGTATTTCCTTGAGGAGAGCAATTTCTATCAGATAAGTAACCAATGACACCCACTAATGGAAGAAGCATTTTTTCCTACTGACACCTACGTAAGGGGTCCTTCTCCCACCGATCACCAGCCTAAGAAGGCCCTTCTTTACTGACCACCAATAAAAGTAGCATTTTTTTCCCAGTGACCATTAATGTAATGAGGCCCTTTGCTTGTCAACTCTCCCAATGACACTTCTTCACTGACCATCAATGTTGGGGAGCATTTCATGGACCCCCAATATAAGGTGGCAGTACACTGACCAGCAATGTAAGGGTCACTTTTACACTGACCATCATAGTAAGTACGCATTTCTCCACTGTCCACAAACTTAAAGGAACACTACAAATTTCACTGTCTGTAAATATTTTCTGGCCATTATTATGGCTGAAAATAGTGTGGTCGTAAAGAACAGGCCTGTGCCGAGTTCCCGGGTCTGTACACCCGCTGTACCCATTATGAGGGGCTGTCACCATCCCTGAGTTCCTGGGTCTGTACACCCGCTGTGCCCATTATGAGGGGCTCCCACCATCCCTCTGCTGAGTTCCCGGGGCTGTACACCCGCTGTGCCCATTATGAGGGGCTCCCACCATCCCTCTGCTGAGTTCCCGGGGCTGTACACCCGCTGTGCCCATTATGAGGGGCTCCCACCATCCCTCTGCTGAGTTCCCGGGGCTGTACACCCGCTGTGCCCATTATGAGGGGCTCCCACCATCCCTCTGCTGAGTTCCCGGGGCTGTACACCCGCTGTGCCCATTATGAGGGGCTCCCACCATCCCTCTGCTGAGTTCCCGGGGCTGTACACCCGCTGTGCCCATTATGAGGGGCTCCCACCATCCCTCTGCTGAGTTCCCGGGGCTGTACACCCGCTGTGCCCATTATGAGGGGTTCCCACCATCCCCGAGTCTGTACACCTGCTGGATTAATTTGCATGGATTTTCATTCTTCCTCCACAATTTACATTATGGAGGAGATTATATAAAGAGTTGTGACACTCAAGCTTACTGTTGTCCGATGTCTCTGGCGCTTTCTCCTGTATTGCTGCACAGGTAGTCTCCGGCTGCGGTTCAGGAAAAGTCAGGAAGTTGAACACAGAATATTTGTCTCTCTTCACTTTGGGCAGCCCAGTGGAAGTTGACCTAAAATTGAAAATTGTCAAAGTGAAGTCACCGGAGACAGGTCACAAAGCTGAACTGCTGAACTATAGTGTTTTTGGGGGGTTTTTTTTGCAGTCTGGC